AAACCTTTCAGGTAGCAGCAGAAAACTTTTCATGGCTAAAACTTTTACGCGCACGATTTGACAAGTCAAGCTGGTTGTTGCTGCTGGCATCTTTAGTCGAAGTTGGCTGCCACATGTTTCCGGTTCCCCTGGCACCCACTTCCCCTCCTCACTGACTTCACTCAATGCATTTGGTTACTAGGTTAGACCCAAAAACCCATAGTTTGGGGGTTAAACACTTTTTAATGCTGATCTGGAGCTTCAGTGGCTAAGAAAAAGGGGTAACATTTAAATGTTTCTTACAACAAAATTAAAAAAAAGTTAGAAATAAAAAAAGGAACGAATAAATGTCCTATTGATATAATTTAGTAAAATATTTTTGTAAATTTTAGTCAAGTTCTGTATGTTCATATAAACAAAGCCCTTTTATCGTCCGGTTTATGCAAACTTTGTGAAGAACGTGCCAAATCTGCAAATTTAAAGTTTAGTGAAGCCAAAGGGGGATTTGGGAATCCCAGGAAGCCCAGCATATGTATCCTGCTGCTGGTACTTCCTATGCCGACTCTCAGTGTCAGGACCACGGATTCCTCCTCCCACTGGGTCCCCTATCTTAATTGGCGTGCGTGTGTGTAGTGAGTGTGAAAAGTTCATTAAAGTTTCACGTGCGAAATTATATAAAATTTTAAGAGCATGACTTGGCCGCGCGTCTGTTCCAGGCTTCCTGCCGCAATCCGAGGGCTAGGATGCTGGGTGCTGACTGGGCGCGGAAGTGCAAATTATTTTCCCCAGACATTTTGCAGTTGCTTACGCTTAATTGCTGCCGCCCTTGCAGTCATTACCTCTGCCTGAAGTGATTTATTATTTAATTGAAAAATAAGTGCTTCCCTTGAGGGAATTTTAAATTAATTATTCATTTGCCTTAATCATCAGCAAAAAATGGTTTACATTTTTTAATGACCTGTATAAATATATATGCAAATGATCTTCCGCCTGGATGATTTTTAAAATATTTACTTTTTCCAAAAAAATTCCCCAAGCCCCAAATTGAAATCTCACCCAACCCGTTCAAATGTCAAGCGCACAATTTTGATTGATTTTTCTACACGAATGCCTTCAATTACTGCCCCTATCTGGCTGTCTCCACTTCCATCTCCATCAGCATCCCTCCAAATGAACACATCCTAGTTGTCTACCCCCGAATAATCACAATAACCAAAGTCATGCTGTGACACCTCCAGTCATGCCATATCCTGACCCACGCCAGCAACTTGTTGCATCCGAAATCAACTGTGATTCCCGCTTCACTGGAGAAATCACCAATGAAAAATTTCCCTCGCATTCTCTCGCCCAAAAACTGTCAGTGACACTTACAAATTGGATTTTCGACAGCGGCAACCAGACCTGAAGGACACACCATTATCGCGGCCTGGCACAAAATCGCTTAAAGAGATATCCAAAATAAATAATGTTGCATGTAAATAACAACAAATCAATTTTTAAATAGACAAGATGAACCCGAACACGCACAAACAAATACGGGACCCTATTCCTGGCATCAATGAACCCTCTTCATCAGTGGGCTTAATGTGTGTGAATGTTTTTAGAACAGTGGTATGAAACGATATTAAATTTCAAAATCTCAATTCGAATAAAATGCAAAATAATCTAGAAGGATTCTTTAAGAGTATCCTTTTTTTTGGTTAATTATTGACATCTAAATTATAGAGTACTAAACATATAATTTTCTATTAATCTTTAGAATATCTCCACTACCTTTTAGACATAAGTGAAACCACTGTGCCTGGCCTGTGGCAAAAAGGTCTTTCTCCCTGTCAGATCCAGGCACTTTCACTTAGCCGATGCCAATGGCTTTGATAGATTCAAGTTCACAGTGGGCCGCCAGGTAGCCATTCGTCCATCTGCCCTGCCACCCACTCAAAGCCACTCCAGAAAAGTCGGAGACGTAGACAGAGGTTGTTCGGAGGTTGACTTTTAGGGGGACCCGTGTAGCTGGGCTGTTCATGCGGTTCATTGACATGGCCATCCGAGAGAACCTGGGCGATGGGGCCCATTTAATTTTGATTAATTGCGGTAAATGTTATGTTAATTTGCTGGCACTTTTTTGGCTGACTGCCCGGGCTGTCGGCCGACTGATTTTAGATAAGCGCGTAATGCGAGACTATTAGTGGGCGGGTCGGCAAACTAATTTCCCCCCAAATGATTGTCACACCCCTGTAAGCAAAAAGGCGATAGTTCTATCGCCTCACGTCAGGATGTCAATTCTTAGTAACTTCTGGAAGATAAAAACACGACAGAACATATTTTACAAAAGCAAAATCTACATCTATCGCGAAGAAGTTGTGTCTTAGGGCCGGTTTCTCGAGTCCCTGTCAAAGTCCCTGATAGCTATCTGTTCGAAAAACTTAAAGACCAGATAAACTGTTCGTAAAAGCAAATCCGCTTTCTCGACTGCTTTAATTTATCTGAACGAGAAACAATTACAGAGTGCTGTTAACTCACAGAATTGTGCTGTAAAGCGCAAAAAATAGCGTGCTTCGATTATTTCATCAGCTGTTTGGGTATAATTCAAAGGAAAATTCAGCTGTGATTTCGTTTCTTCTTCTTAGTTGGCTTTGGGAAATCAGCTGTCATTCTATCGAGACGAAAACGCTTAACAGGGACTCAGAGTCCCTGTCAAAGTAAGCTCTCACATTGGTGCTCGAGAAAGCCAAAATGCCTTAGCTGGGACTTTTTCTGTTCGAGAAATGTTAGCCGGCACTCGAGAAACCGGCCCTTAGTCACAGAAAACAGGGTCGCTCTTGTGGGGAAGTAATTTCTAATGCACTTTTAGGCGATATAAAGACGATAGAATACATTTCCCGAAGTCACTTCCAGACGTCACTTCGGCGACTCTTCCCGAAGTCACTTCCAGAAGTGTCGCCGAAGTCACTTTCATACGTCACTTTGGCGACACTTCCCAAAGTTACTTCTGAGTCACTTCCAGAAGTGTCGCCGAAGTCACTTTCATACGTCACTTTGGCGACACTTCCAAAAGTTACTTCTGAGTCACTTCCAGAAGTCACTTGGGCGACACTTCCCGAAGTCACTTTTGAGTCACTTCTAGAAGTGTCGCCGAAGTCACTTCCAGACGTCACTTCGGCGACACTTCCCAAAGTCTCTTCTGAGTTACTTCCATAAGTTTCGCCGAAGTCACTTCCTGACGTCACTCCGGCGACCCTTCCCTAAGACACTTCTAAGTCACTTCCAAAAGTGTCGCCGAAGTCACTTGCAAACGTCACTTCGACGACACTTCCCGAAGTCACTTCTGAGTCACATCCAGAAGTCACTTCTGAGTCACTTCCAGAAGTCACTTCCAGAAGTCACTTCTAAGTCACTTCTAAGTCAGTTGCACAAGTCACTTCGGCGACACTTCCCAAAGTTACTTCTGAGTCATGTCCAGAAGTCACTTGGGCGACACTTCCCAAAGTCTCTTCTAAGTCACTTCCAAAAGTGTCGCCGAACGTCAAACGTGCAAACGTCACTTCGGCGACACTTCCCGAAATCACTTCTGAGTCCCTTCCAGAAGTGTCGCCAAAGTCACTTCCAGACGTAACTTCGGCGACACTTCCCAAAGTCACTTCTAAGTCACTTGCACAAGTGTCGCCGAAGTCACTTTCATACGTCACTTTGTCGACACTTCCCAAAGTTACTTCTGAGTCACTTCCAGAAGTGTCGCCGAAGTCACTTTCATACGTCACTTTGGCGACACTTCCCAAAGTTACTTCTGAGTCACTTCCAGAAGTGTCGCCGAAGTCACTTTCATACGTCACTTTGGCGACACTTCCCAAAGTTACTTCTGAGTCACTTCCAGAAGTGTCGCCAAAGTCACTTCCTGACGTCACTTCGGCGACACTTCCCAAAGTTACTTCTGAGTCACTTCCAGAAGTCACTTGGGCGATACTTCCCGAAGTCACTTTTGAGTCACTTCCAGAAGTGCCGCCGAAGTCACTTCCAGACGTCACTTCGGCGACACTTCCCAAAGTCTCTTCTGAGTTACTTCCATAAGTTTCGCCGAAGTCACTTCCTGACGTCACTCCGGCGACCCTTCCCTAAGACACTTCTAAGTCACTTCCAAAAGTGTCGCCGAAGTCACTTGCAAACGTCACTTCGACGACACTTCCCGAAGTCACTTCTGAGTCACATCCAGAAGTCACTTCTGAGTCACTTCCAGAAGTCACTTCTAAGTCAGTTGCACAAGTCACTTCGGCGACACTTCCCAAAGTTACTTCTGAGTCATGTCCAGAAGTCACTTGGGCGACACTTCCCTAAGTCACTTCCAAAAGTGTCGCCGAACGTCAAACGTGCAAACGTCACTTCGGCGACACTTCCCGAAATCACTTCTGAGTCCCTTCCAGAAGTGTCGCCGAAGTCACTTCCAGACGTAACTTCGGCGACACTTCCCAAAGTCACTTCTAAGTCACTTGCACAAGGGTCGCCGAAGTAACTTCTGTCACTTCACTACGTCTGGCGATTTCAGGCCTTTTGTTTTTGAAAATTGTGTTCTACCGTCTTTCTATCGCCTAGAAGTGCCTCAGAAGTTACTTTGCCACGATCGCGACCCGTTTTGTTGTGATTCTATTTTTCAGAAGTTACTAAGAAGTGACTACTGGACGTGAGGCGATAGAATTATCGCCTTTTTGCTTGCAGGGTTGTTTGAGTCTGCCTGCATGTGTGTTGGGGTGTGCCGATTTGTATGGGTTGACAAACACTAATTAATTGCAATGAGCTTCACTTTGAAGGGGGTTTCCTCTGACGCTTTGGCTCCTGCTGTTGATTGGAGCATGCTAATTACCCAGAGACTGTCAATCATGCCGAGCCAAGTGGGTGAATATGCACTTAAAGTCGATTGTACATTTTGTAAGCTTAAATTAATATTTAGCATTTTTTCAGGTCCGATATATAATCTAGTTTTCATTAAAATTTTCATATCTGACAACTACACTTTTCGGTAAATCGTTCAAGACACCGAAAAAAAACATAATAAGCCAGATAAATGGAAAACCTGGCTGTGGGCCTGGCGGCCTTTTTCCAACTGATGGGTTGCTACTTCTTCTTTGCCCAGCCGGAGGATTGCTGCTCACCGGCTCCCGACTTGGCCAGCTGGATTTTCCTGGCGGCCACTCTGTGTTTCCTTTGGGATACCTCCATCTATCCTCGTCGCTTTATGCACATGGCCCGTTTTTGGCGGCTAATCGTCGAGATCGTGGCAGCCATTTTCCTGACGGAAGTGGGCACCATTATCATTTGGTGCGGCCTGGAAAGGTTGCTGTTCTGCCTGACGGATGAGCTCATGAAGTTTATGCACAACGGCTGCCAAACGTCGCCGTATGTCTATTGGCTTTCGGGGCTAATTACCAGTTTGGTGAGTGGAGCGGTGCTGTGGTACGTCCTTGAAGCCACCGATGGGATGTATTACATCATGAAGTTCGGACGGGAATTGAAAACCACCATGAAGGTCTCCTGGCGAATGCTGCGCTGCTATATCAACATGAACATGAGAGATAGACGTCGGGCTTTGAAGGTATGCCAGTTGGCCAGAAAAATGCCAAAAAGGAAATGCTGTCAATCGGATAGAGATAGTTGCGAATGACCTGTGAATCATCGAGGTTCCTGCATTATCTTTTGGCATTTTGGTCCTCCCATTAAAAGTGTTTTATATCCCCTTTAAACAATACTTTTTTCTTTCTGACAATCTTTGGCAATAACTCTTTTTCACAGAAAAAAGCAAAAAAGGAAGCAAAGTATTTTTCTGTAGTTTTTTGGTTTCACGCAGTGGCATTTTAGAAGCCAAAAGTAGGTCATCAGACTTCAATTCCTAAGAAACTGAAGATTTTATTTATGCACTTTTTCAGCTATAACACACACTTGCTACATTTTTAATAAAATTTAAAAAAGAATTCATTAAATCTAAATAAATACAAAGAAAAATAAAAAACAAATTTGTTTTTCCTTGGAAGATATAAAATATCCAAGAACTTTTATGTATAATATTTAATATTTCTTAGAAAGTGATAAAAAATGGATTTCATTAAATTTAAAGTTATTACAGTTGTAATGCAAGCATTGTGTTTATGAAAGGTTCATGACTTCCCCCGCAAAAAAGGAACAGAATAAGATGTGCCGGTTATTCATCGAGAGGAGCATTACTCATACGCCCCGTCAGCCACACCCTCTAGCTGTGTGCGAGGCCATAACAAACACACAAACACAGGGAGAACGAAAAAACACGCCCAAATACACACAAAAAGGCAGCTGAAAATGAATAAAAATGGGCGTGTCAGACGAGTTGCAGACAATCAGAGAGCACATTTGGAGATTGCCATGCATTTCTAGGCAGCAATCGCCGCCATATGCTAACTTTGATTACTTCTTCTGGCTTTTATCGCAGCCTCCCATCCCCAAACGTAACTGCCATTTCCCAGAAATGTAAGCAAAGCAGCGGGCAAGGGGGAAGGCGAAGAAGAAATTGTATTTCATTTTCCTGGGCCTGAGAAAAGACGGAACCGGATATGCGACATTTTATCAAGTCAGGCATAAATCAGCAGCTTATGCTGGATTCTAGAGGGATGGTTGGGTCTCGTTTGCTCGCTTTAACTCGGGTTTCACTTACTTTCGTTGTTCCTGCATGTTTCAAACTGGCAAATAATTTATTTTGCATAAATTTGCCAGCACTTAACGATGGGGATCTACGCCACACACCTATGTATGTATGTGCGAGTGGGGCAACCTTCCAATTCCGCGCGAGGAATATGTTCCGTGTGCGGGTCACGCTGAATTATGCCATCTAATTTGTCTGCAGGCAGGTGGTGCTCATTAATCTTGCCTCGCTTATGAGCGGCTCTGCTGTCTCCGTCTGTTTTTCTTGCCGCACCACTGTAGCACACTCCTGGGATTCTGGAACTCTGGATGCTGGGCTGCAGATAAGCTCCTCGCCTTTGCAGCGGGCTCACGTAGCGGGTTTTGTGATTTCCTTTGCCCGCTTCAATGCCAGGCAAGGGATTTTCCGAGATACCCTTTCTGGAGGGAGGAAATAAACTATCATAATATTCTGGGACTTATGGTAAAAAAAAATATTACAAAAAAAAGAAAAGAAATAAATCACCTAGTCTTGTAAAATTGTATTCTCACTTTATTAAAGTCAAAATCATTTGTTTTCTATCCAGTATTTTATTTAAAAATCCAAATAAAAAAGATTCTTATGCATACCTTATAGAGCTTGCAAATTATCGATATTTTCGATACTTTCACAATATCGAATCGATTATATCGATGTTTTCAAGGGAGAACACATATTAAATATCGACAAATAGTAAACTGTCGATATTTTGACAAGCTCTATTTTCTTATCCCTGTCTTAAAAATAATGAAGAGTATCTGGACACCTTGAATAAACATGATTTCTGTATCTTGGCCCGCATAGTTCCGCACCTGACTCCCGCTTAATGCTTAATGGATTTGCGCTTTGATGTGCCAACTGCGTGTACGTGTATCAAAATCGTACTGGGGAGTGCCTCTGTGTGTGCTGGCCTGGTTGTAAGTGGTTAAGTGTCTATATTAGACGCCATCACTTGCAGTTTCCCATTTCTAAGGGCCCGATGGTATTTTTTGGCCGTGTTTTTTGGCCCATTTTACTGCAGAGGTGGCAAGCATAAATTTCCCTCTAAATGGCCTTATGAGGGCGGCCTCGAAGCTGATCCTCTGTTTATGGCCTGGCCAAATGAAATGTGAGTGGGAGTCGGTTTCGCATTTGCGGAATGGCTGAATGTGTGTGTGTGGGCCGTGTCGGCCCTTTTAAATTAAAAATCCTGGTCCGTGGCTTCTGTTTGGGCGGCCCTGAAATTGAATTTTCCTCCCGTCCCGGTTTGATTAGCATAAAATGCGGTACGTGTCTTGGTTTGGCTGAAAAACGTGTGGCGGTGATGATGGGTCCGTGTAAAAATCATTGAAATATTGAATGCTTTTTCAAAGAATTTTTATTTCCGTTAAAATTTAATTTTATGTTTGCACACCACATTTTGTTTTGTTATTTATTATTTCCTTTTTCGGGATCTCATTTTTTTCAACATTTAAAAATTCGCTTTGTTTGTAAACAGTTTTCGTTTTATGTTCTTCTGTTCTTGACACTTTACTTACAGTACATATTGTAGAAATGTTTTTCCACTGCGCTCGACATTTAACTAATGAAATAAGGTTGTTCTTGAGATTATCTATGTACACAGAGATTATATTCCAAAATTCTTGTAATTTACGTTCAGCCGGTTTCATGTTTCCTGTCTGTGGTGGGTGATTTCTTTCAAAAGGATTTATTTCTTGAATCGATTTCTGTATGCAATGGATTTCTTCTGCATTGACCGGACTAAACTTAGTTATTTGCTAGGCAAAAGTTTAATATTAGTTTAGTATCTCACTTGTGTTTTTAAAACTAACTATATTCCTATTGAAACAATATTTATTTCAATAAGCACTGGTTCGCTGCAGCCTCGCTTATATCAAAAGATTCATTTCCGATTTCCTTTAATATTATTAACTTATTTAAATTTAAATTTAACTTTAGTTAAAAAGTTTGTTTTGGAATTAACAATAAATATTTATATACTCTTTTCAAATTTTTCCTAATTTCGAATTTTTTGGTTTGGTAATATGGGAAAACATGTGAGAGGTTTCTTTTTTAAATTGAACAGTATTTAAAGCAACTTTTTCCTTATACATTGTAAAGTAAGGAATCTATATTTAAACGGGGGAAAAAAGGGGTGTAATCGGCATGCCGAAACCAGGAATGCCCTTACACAACAATTGGGCAATTATTTAACATTTTAATCAGAGATTAGCTAAGTAATAAAGAGTAAATTTAGAACGACGCACATTCAGACCAACGGATTTGATTATACTGACTAATTGGCATCACTTCCCTCACCTCATTGTTCGGGCATGATATCTATTTAAGTCTATGACGTCCAACTATTTGCCACATCCACTTACAACGAGCTTTGGCCTTACATAAGAATCGGAATCAAAATTGTTCATCTTTTTGTTAATCGTTTTTAGCACATCAAAAACTATAAATATTGGACCAAAAATTACCATTGAACCTTATGTAAAGTCAAATATGTCTTCTACTTTCATCTTTTATCTTATGTTCAGTTTCGTTTTTATTTTTTTCGGTTAGTCCTTGACCGTCATACTCAAATATTTACAGATCCATGCGTTTAGCTTTTCTCTCTGACAGCTTCTATGAATAAATCAATTAACATTTATGGGAATAAATGTCGAAGAATGAAAAGTAAACACAAGACCGCAAAAGACTATTTACAAGGTCAACCACACACAAACCGCCATTGAAGAGGAGTGTGGTTGTGAGAATAAGAACACCAAGGACAAGAATCCTCGTCGCCATAATAGTTTTTGGCTGCTGTCGTCGCCTTTTGCCTTTTGTGTGCTCCTCGTCGACACAGTTTTTGCTCGCCAGTTCATTGAAATGGTGGCAGCAGTCAATGTGTCAGATAAACAAGCCCAGTGACACTTTTGGCCATGATTCAGGGTCTCAGCCGGGAAACGGAGCGTGCGAGTCAAGTGTGCGAATTTATAGTTGGCCATGCAATTTTTGCGTCCCAAGATTTGCACAATAAACACCTTGTGGGGTCCTGGGTCTTATATATCACTGGCTGGCTGCACACAAGTGGTCACATTTATATGGACGATATGTTTGCTTCTGCCTGCCCACATTTGACCCCCTCCATCTCAGTCTCCACCCATTGTTTGCAGGACTTTCGCCAGGACGTGCCCGGCTGCACGAGGACCCACAACCACCCACACAGGCAAACAATCCTGCATGCACGCTGCCAATGACAGTTGTCAACATGACAGTTATAAGGACACTGATACAAATGTTACGGATGTTTGTCTTGGCCAGACAAGAAACGTTCTTTGTCGCATGCCGTGAGTAGAGGGCAAAGATTGATTAAAACTGCTGATAAATGGTTGAGAAATGTTTGCTGTCCGCTCTTAAAATTAATGGAATGCTTTTAAACTTTAGTTGGGAAAGTTTACAGTTGGAAAGGCAGTGATCTTGGGACTTACTATAATAATATTTAATTTATTTGAAAACTATATATGCACTCTTTCTCTCAATGCTGTTTAAAATTCGGTATTTTTTACGACTTAGAAAGCAATAAAATCACCGCTTACGTTTAGCTATTAAGCACTTGACAGTTTTAAAAGCTTTTATTGAGTGGAAATTTAGAGAAACACTTAACAGACACTCTCTGCTCTACTAAATCTTCAATTTTTGAAAAATGATTGAATTTAAGATTCTAAAATTCAGAAAACAGTATTTAGTCAATTGATTATATTGAGAACTTTTTTAGACATCTTTAGAACCCTTGGCAAAAGTTTGAGTATGATTGACCTTGGTCTTCAAACACCTAAAGATACACTTCTCATTTAAGACTTTGTGCGGCTGCCTAACCAGATAAAGTTCCCTTCAGCTTTAGGTTTAGAGTAAACTTAACGATTCATTCACATTACACATAGACTACACTTTCTTAAAGATTTTAAGCATTTTTTCTTACTTTCACCGAGTTGCAGCATTGGAGCATTTTTGGGCAGTACTGTCAGAAGTTGGCAAGTCCGTTGTTTCAATGGGGAAAATCCCAGTTAATGTCTGGCAATCAATGCCTGGGACCTATGTAGATCCCCCCGAGACTATCGCCGGTGTCCCCGCCCACCCCGCTACCCTCGCCGTCCTCGTCCTCCTCTTCGTTGTCCAGCAGACCATCGTCCAGTCCGATGGCCTCCGTTCCGTTCTCCTGGCCACTCTGGCCATTGTTGATGGTGGCTCCCTCGTAGGTATCGCTGTCCTCCACCAGGCAGCAGTCCCCGCACTCGTCCGTCGAGGAATTCACCTCGTCGCTGAGATCGTCGAGCAGCGTCACCTTGGGGGCCCGGAACTCATCCGGGCAGCCCATCGGGACGCCGGCGGAGGCCACCGAGATCTTGATGTTGCAGTTCGTGGCGGCGTGGCAGGCATGGGCGTGGGCTTGGGGGATGGGCTGCTGTATCGTGCCCACCTGGGAGCTGGCTCCTCCGTGGGCGGCCCTGAAACTCAGATTGGGGGTTCGCTGACCCATGCTGGCCATGCCGGGTGGCATTTGGCTGTGCGTCATGCTCAATGTGGGCGGTACATTCAGCACAGTTGCCCCACCGCCCACCGCCGTCTTGTGGGTGGGGTGGGCGTGGCCCGAATACATCAGCTGGTGCGTATCCGAGGCCAAATTGTGGGCGGTCAGCTGCAGCGGATGCTGATCCTTGCGTTCTGTCGAGTGGAGAGAAAGCAGAAGAGATGGCAACTATAAACACTTCGGCTTGCAAAGTATCTGAAGGATGCGGATGCGGATGCGGCTGCGGACACGGAAGCGGAAGTGCATTCGAGGACATGTCGGCGATTGGTTTATCGCCGCCACATTGTGCAGGCATCTGTGAGGGCTTCAAGTGAATGAGCCAGCAGCACTACGCATACCAGTCCTCCAGGCACTTCCGCTTCCCACGGGTCCGGTGTTATGTGAGCCAGAAAGATGAGGGAGTAGAGGCACTCGGTACCCTGTCCACAAATCAAAATAATTTAATCGAAAAAAATAGGCTGTTTGAATTCTGTTTTAAATAGTATATGTTGGCCGGGACATCTCCTGTTTTTAAAGTTTGTGCATTCTAAAGAACATTATAAATAAATCGAACAAATTCTTGAACATTTGTTTTTTTAGCAAACTATTATGAAAATTTAAAAATAAGGTATTTTAAATATGTTTAATTTAACAAAAACTTATTGCAGTGAGAATTGTTGTTAATGAATCTATTTATTATTTGCAAACTTTTTGATTGAAAATGAAAGTGTACTTCAATATATTTCTAGCTCAAGGCTAACAGTTTACTTTCCCAAGTTTGTATCGTAAATCCCAGTAAAATGAAGCTTGATAGTCAATAAAATTAAATTATACAATAGCTTAACCGAGAATCATAGTGAGTAAAATTAAATAATAGGTTAGGGAATATTCTCGGAGTGCAGTGCTCGGCAGGGGTGTGAAACTTTTCCGGTGACACCCTGCCCTCGACCTGACAAGAACCATTGTCCTGGCCGTACAATGGCTCTCAAACTATGTGTGTGGTTACAAGTGGGTTCAACTGCGTTGCCATCACCTTTTCCGCCGCCCCTGCCCCTCAATTATCTGTCCGCAAAACTTTCAACTAACGGGTCGGAGGGGGAAAATCCCCGGCTAGCAACGGGGGAGGGGGAGGAGGAAAAGGAGGAACTCACCCAGGGGGCCCAGAAGTTTCGGCTGGAGCGGCAGCATGAAGTCGTGGCCAGTCGTCGCCGCCCGCGGCTGAAGGCTCTGCACCGCCGGCACGCTCAAGTAGTCCGCTGCAAAGTCAGAGGAGGCGGCCCGGAAAAGCCGGGGAAATGCGTTAGTGCCGTCGGAGCAAACAATGTAGCGGTGGCCGGGGCCAAGGCAAAAGTTTCCCCCAAAACAACCGAAAAGAAAACAAACACGGAAAGCAAGGAAAAAAAATAAAGGAGGAGCTGGAGAAATGGTTTACAAAACTTTAAAAAGGCACGCAGCTAAAATATTCTTCTACATAGCATTCAGATAAAAAAAAGTTGGCGGCAAGACGTTAGAAAAAAGTGAAAAGTTGCGAAATCATTTTGAATATTTCTATAGCTAAAATACACTCGCATTAAAATATACATCTTTATCATTTCTATCAACAGGCGCTCGACAAGCGGACGTGGAAAACTTTTAGCTTGCCATAATTTCAAGTGGGGGGAAAATCTATTTGCGATAAACTTTAAGCAAACAAAAATTAAAGAGGGGTTGGAATGGGATAAAAAGTTATGCCATTTAAAAAAGGTTACTAGAAAATAAAAGCATGAATATAAAAATGAAATGGAACAGGCAGACATCAGACAATAAAATAAAAAAAATAAAAAAAAACTAAAAATATTACAATCTATTGATTTTACTAAATCACAGTTGTCTCTTCTCTCAATAAACATATTTAACTTAATGTCAACACCAAGTTAACCAATAGAAAGTTCCCGATGGAAATTCCTCTACTTAACAAGGCAATCCATCAAAGGACCGTCTTTTCAGACAAACTTTTAACTATAACTGACAGTCGTTGAGAAGTTGTTAACGTGGAAATTGGTTTACTTTTACAGTTTCTATTTGAGCCAGTGCAACAACTTTAAATATTAAAATTAATTTCCCAGGACTCGCAGAGCACTTGGCGGTGCGAAGAAGAAAAAAAAAAGTAGCAGCAAGTGAAACAAGGTACAGAATGGGTTGGGATTTTTCCACAGACACAGATGCCTTTAGGTGGAGGATCTCCACACACTGCCGTTCTTAATTGAAATTCCTGGCCATCGGCCTGCCGTTGGCATTCGGTCTTGGCCCACTGTGGCCATAAATTGTACAAGCCTTTTTCTACGAGAGTGTGTGTGCTTGGCAAATTACCACTACAAGATCGCAAAAATAGCTATGTAGCTCCACTTGGCCCGCTAGTGATTTAGTTGCTATTTTTGTGCTCCGCAATTTGCATCCCAAAGTGGTAGGAAAAGCTACTGTCCTCGAGTCTCCACACCTGAACATAATGCAAAGCAGCTTAGAGACGGAAAGGAGGCGGCAAATAGGAACAGTGCCAAATGTCACCGCTCCTGCATTTCCGGGGAACAGAGAAATGTCATTTGCCCCGGCTAAGAACGTGCCAAAGTATGCAACACTTTTTCTCGTTTCTTTTTTTCACCAAGAAAACGGGGCCAGTTGCATCTTCTAAGCGGCTTATAAAAAGTTTCGCTACGTGTGAACCGTTCTTAAAATAACAGCAATGCGACAACAAAGAAAACACTTAATAATTATATTTCTCAGAACATCTTGGAAACATTTTAAAATTCTTGAGCTTCACTACAAGTGTTTATAAACATTATAAATGAGCCAAAATTAGGGTATAAAAAAACTAAGTTATACATTTTTAGAAATATGAATATGAAAAGCACTAAAAAGCGCTGTAGTTGAGTGGGTTGACTATCAGATACCCATTACTCAGCTGAAGGAAGTGCTAGGAAGATGGAGATATGCTTGCAAGAAAGCGATGCACTGCTTGAACTCCATTATTTGCTGATAACTTTTGAATGAATGGTCCGAATAGTTCCCGATACTCGTAGAGTATACCCGTAATAATAACAGAACAATTAAATCCCTATTATACTAAAGTTTTAACCTCCGATCTTTTCCTTGTTTAACTACAGCTCAAAACTTTCATCTTCTTTTCGAATTTGCATTTATGGCTTTTTTTCTTTTAACACTTTCCTTTTAAGGCCCTGCCCTGGCACCCCTACTGTACAACATCCGAGCAGGTTCAACTAAGCAACTTTCAACTTTCGACTGAAATTCTTGCTTTTTTCTTTACTTTTCAGAAGCTCACAACTGGCTCAAGAAATTAATCGCCTTGAGAGCCGCAAACTGCCTTCCGTTTCCCCATTTGAGTGCCGCCTCACTTTTCCTGGACAAAAGAAAAGAGAAAAGTCGAGATTTGAGCATGCACACTTGAGCTTTTGTGGCTTTAATTAAAATGCACATCATGCAGAAATTTTTCTGCCCAGGTTCTTCCCATTATATTTTTTTCGACAGGTTTTCCGTCCTCATATTTTTACACTTTTTTTCCACGTTTGAGAGCTGGGCTATTTTCCAGCGCTTTGTTGGACGGCCGGGCAAATGGAAAAAGTTTTTCAATTTGTTTGACGATAAATGAACTTTATTTCTATATATGTTTGAGTGCCTAAGTGTGGGTGGCAGCATATAGAACGTTTACGCCGGTTTTGGCCTTTTGAAATATGACATAAAAAGGATTTTCGCCTAGCATAATAAAATTGTAATTAAAGTTAAATGCCCAAAATAAAAATAAGTTGCAAAAAGCTTTTAATATGCAAATAAACATAAAAAGTTTTCCTTTTCCCCGCTTTGTGTTTGTTGCAACCTCTTTTATTGACTGACTCTCGGAGTGACAAAGTTATAGCATTCGGGCGAAATTTATAGCATGCGATAAATTTTAACAAGCTCAGGGGCAATGACAGTAGGGTGTTGCCCCCACCCATTCTACTAATTGTTGAAGGCCCCTAAGAAGATCTTGCCATGGGGTTAAAGGAAATATACACTTAGGATTAAATTTACGGGACTCACATTTTCAAGATATTTAGCTTTTTATTTGATAATTGTAAGTTCAAGTATGTGAAATAAATTATTGTGCTATAAAAAATGTAACCGACCATGACCTTGAGTTCGCCAAAATCCTACCATAATTCTTTTAAATTTATTGACTAATTTTAAGCATATTTGTTTTGCCTTGCCAATCCGTATTTAAATTAAAAATGTTTTAAGTGACTAAACATTTTATTATACCTTTTTTTCAAACCAATCAAAAAATACAAACTTAAATTAAACTAGTAATTTTAATACAACCTTTTAATAATTTGAAAAAACTAATGTGAGCAATGGATTTAAATTAAGATTATTACTGGATTTAGCTTTATTACTTTATCAAACTTTTCTTTGTTTTTTTCCGAACAGACTTTGAGATTTTTTCTTAAAATAAATAAATTGTATATACCGGTGCTCATTTTCCTCAGTGCTTTTACAGGCGTAAAAAAATATATTTTCTGAAAATGGTTAGCAAACATTTGTACACGTGCAGCATGCCAAGACAGAGACATAGGGCCACAGAGAGGGTGGTGAAAGGAGAAAGAAGAAAGTAGAAAGGGGGAATGGACAGATAGACTGAAAGACTGAAAGAAAGACAGATAGGCACAAGACAAGACAACACTTACAACTGATGAAGGAGGGGCCGGCGGGGGCGGCTGCGGCGGCTGTGGCAACGGCTGCCGAAGCAGCTGAGCCAGTGAGCGATGCCGGTGACGTCATCGCCGCCGCCGACGCGGGGCCAAGGCCATGGGAGTGGGCGTGGGCATGGGCATGGGCGTGGCCATGACTGTGGTGGGCGGCGGGCGGTGGCTGGGGCATAGGCACTTGGTAGGTCATTGCCGACATCGGCGTCGAATCAGCCACATTCGCCATCGTAGCCGTCGTCGACGTCGCAGTCGTCGTCATTATCCTTTGCCCAGGATGCAGGCCAATGACATTGACGCCGTTCACGTTCACGGTGCCTGGATTTCCGACCGGCGGACGGATGCATTTACATTGCGGATACACATATACAACACACGCATTCGTTTACATTTTGTTACACCAACACACACAAAAGGTAACAAGTACAAATACAAATAGACCAACATTGAGGAACAAAAGAAATTAAATTAATTTAATTTAAGAACAATATGCAGAAACATTAAGTTCTGGGGTAAAAAGGCAGAAGGAAAAGATTTAGCTTACAATTTTAAAAAGCCCCCAATAGCCATAAAAAACTTTAAAGGATTTAAATGGTTAATACATACCGAAACATTTATTAAACAATGGTTCCTTACAAAATCAAATAAATTAACATAAATACAATTTATTCCATTTACAAATATATAGTTCATCTAATTAATTACAAGTCAGCATAATAGTTAAACTCAACAACAGCATTAAAAAATTAAATTAAAAAGGAATTTATTGAACAATTGTTCCTTACAAAGTTAAAAAATGTATAATAAATACAATTCCATTTAATCAATTAAAAATAACATAGTTCATCCAATTAATTTAAAGTCAGCAGAACATTTAAACACAAAAAGAGCATTGAAAATTTAAACTAACAAAGAAATAAAATATTATTTCGGTCGAGCTTTACTTAGAGTTGATTAATCTTTCCAGATACATCTCATAATGCCCATGTATTCCTAACTCATTTAACTAATATTTGTGTTCCCCCGAGGGTTGCCCCTGTAAAGACTATAAATAATCGGGATTATCTCAAATCAACATTAATGGACTCGGCAGTACGGCAAAGTGAACTGAGCAAGGGGAACGTATCCACAAGCCGGAATTGAGAGCATTAAGCAAAACCGAAGCGATTATAAATCCTCGTACGACATTAAATTTATAACCCTTGGTGAACTGGCGAAATTGCTCCACAATTGCAGCTGCTGAGGGCAGCAGCGGATAGTGGGGAATCTTGTCCTCGGTTGAGTGCATATATCCACTTAAGTCCTTCGGCACCCGGGGTCTGCAGCCTCATCAGCATCCAAGCCACTCGCATGTGGTGAAAGTCCTGCCTTCAATGCTTTTGAATAATCAGTAAAATGGAAATTTACCACATGAAGCTCCCCAGTGGCGTAGAGAAGGGAGGGGTGGAAATCTCTGGGGGACGGCTGAGACCCCGGGGACTACTAAATGCTAAATAACAGCTGACTTGCCCAGGGAAGGGTGCATAAATAATAAAATAATTAAACAAGAAATTGAATGAAATTAATTCAGGCCCCAACAGCGAGGAAAAAGCAAGAGCGAGTATCTCTCTGTGTGTGTGTGTGTGTGTGAGTATCTGTGTGATGTATGCTGCATGTGTGGGTGTGTCTGTAGCACTGAGACTGCTCTAAATATCTGCAGGCCGAAAAAGCAACAGAAAAAGAAAATTAAATTCAATACAACTTCAAAGTGACAGAAAGAGACAGACAAGAGAAGTAAAGTCGCAAATTACGACTTCATTGGTACCCTGTACTCGAGATTTTTATGTTCTGGTTCTTTTTAATCATTTAATAACAAAATTTGTATTAATATTTAATTGTTGTAAAAAATAAGTTATATTCTAAATGGAATTTCGAGTACAGGGCATTTAAAAAGCCAGCTGCAGGACTCACCGATTTTGGCACCGCCGAACGCATCCTTGAACATTGGCGCCCCGGCAGCGGGGTGAGGGTGGCCCACCGCATGGCCACCGAGTCCCGCCCCTCCCGATCCCGCTGGACCAACGCCCCCGGCCAGCAATCCCGGCCCAGTGGGCGGCGTCTGTTTAATGGCGTTCGTCCTGCCGCGATGCGGAGCAGTTGGCTCCCTCTTGCGACGCGGCTGCTCCACGGGCAGGACTCGTCGTCGCTTCTTGGGCAGCTTGGAGCGGGCCTGGAATGAAATTGGGAATGGGAAACGCGAAACGAAAAGCGGTTAACCAACGGGGTGGACAAACAACACAGCCCCCCAACCAACTAGCCAAACTAACCTGAGTGTGCGAGTAGAACATGGAGAAGTTACTAACGATGACGGGAACGGGGAGGGCGATAGTCAGCACACCGGCCAGAGCACACAGGGCGCCCACAAACATGCCCGGATAGGTCTTGGGCGCCACATCGCCGTATCCCACGGTGGTCATGGTCACAATCGCCCACCACAGCCCCAAGGGGATGCTCTTGAACTGGTTGTCCGGATTGTCCTGCAAGAGCAAGTTTATGTTTTTTATTAGCGAAATGTTCCTATTTAAAAATGAATATTTAGTTGGTGTTATCTAAAAGGTCATAGTTAATTAATTGTAAATTTTAAATACATATATTTTAATGGGATGTTATTATTTATTTAATTATGAATTACACTTATTTTATTTAAATTATTTTATAGTATTGCTGGGCCTTAAATTTAATTGGTAAATCATTACACTGGTTAGTTAATTGTATTACCAAAACAAGAGAGAACGCTATAGTCGCGTGCCCCGACTATCAGATACCCGTTACTCACCTAAAGGGAGTGCGAAGGAGATGAAGATAAAAACTTTGATCCGCCGTAACTTTTTAACGAATGGTCCGATCTAAGAAATTTCTTCTACATTTCGATAGGTATTCATAAACACAATAAAACTGCATTTTTACTTTTCCGAAATATTGAAATTTTTAAAATAGTATATAAGCGATAGTGGGCGTTAAAGGGGGCGTGGCACCCTTTTGAAACCAACTTACGCTGCGTAGGAACTCCTAGAATCTGCATGCAAAATGTCAATCTTCTAGCTTTTATAGTTTCCGAGATCTCAGCGTTCATACAGACAGACAGACGGACAGACGGACAGACGGACAGACGGACAGACGGACAGACGGACAGACGGACAGACGGACATGGCTAGATCGACTCGGCTAGTGATCCTGATCAAGAATATATATAGTTTATAGGGTCGGAATCGCTTCCTTCTACCTGTTACGCGAATTTAATATACCCTTTTACTCTACGAGTAACGGGTATAACTAATATAATAATCATTATTTTAAAACTGTTTAAGGTGTATTGTTTAATTATAATGCGAACTTTCTCACCTGCAACTTCTCCGCATAATAAGCCAGACTGGCGAAGAAGACAATGCCCAGGACAAGGAAGAATACCAGCAGAGTAAGCTCCTTGGCCGAAGCCTTGAACGTGTGGATGAGGATCCTTAGGCCCGGCGAGTGGCGAGTCAGCTTGAACAGCCGCATTATCCGCACAATGGAAAAGGCCTCCAGGAGACCCGTATATTCGCCCATGCGCTGCATTACGTCCGTGTAGAAGCTCAAGGTGGCCGTAAAGTCAATGATATTCACGGGCGACTTGATGAACTGCCACAGATTAGGGGAGACCTGATGTATAAGAAATTTAAGAGCCCTTTTTAGTAATTTGAATGACGAGATCTTCGAGTTAAAGAGGTTTTTTATGTAGTAAAATAAAATAATAAAACTATTATATAGTAATAGTATTTAAAATAAATGTTATTTTTTAAAAATGATATGCTAATTAAATATATCCAACTCACAATTAGTCTGATGAGGACTTCGATGAAGAACCAGACGTTGCACACCAGCTCCACGTAGAAGAAGGCCTCATGGGGCTGGCCATATGTCTCGATCCATCCGTGCTTTCTCCTCCCATTGTGACCCAATATCTTCTGCTCGATAAACTCGTTCAGGCTGCTCCCGTTGATATTTCGTTTCAGTCGCTGCCGCTGGCCGCCCTTGATGGTGGCAATGGGCGTGGCCTGGCCGGGGGCGGTGAAGTTGCCGCTGCTGTAGCTCGTGTAGTTCGTGACACGAAAGGTGGGTCCGATGCTGCCGCTGGGCGGCGTGATACTGTGCTGATGGTACTGATGAGTCTGCGGCGGTTCGCCCATGGGATCGTGTCCGTGCGGAGGTCCGCCCGCCCCCGGTCCGTGGGCATCGTCGTGGCCCGAGGGCAGGTCCACGCGAAAGCCGGGGTGGGTCTTCAGGCAGAATGATATCACAGAAACAAATATAAAGAAAACCGACATGCCAGCAACGATCTGAAGAGAATAATTAGAAATGAAAGGGAAAAAATATGAAATATTCTGTCTTAAATTTTAATGCAATAGCTTAAATAATATAGTTTTATAGTGGGATGATACAGTTTTAATGACTCTTAAAATGCAAACTCGGAGTTATCTTAAATTTTCCAATTAATGGTAATATGAAAGATTATTCCCTTAAAAATCCTAATAAAATAACCAAACTAAAAAGAATACAAAGAAAGAAATAGGCTAATAATAAAATTTGTTAAAATCTGTTTTTAATATTTTTTTAAATTAACATAAATATTATGTTAAAGATTACAACCCACCTTGGCACCCGTGGAGCTGGAGGGCTCATCGAACATGGCCCAGATCTTGGGTTTAATACGCTGCCAGCAGTTAAGCTCGCCGTTGCTCAGTGCCTCCTCAAAGCCAAATAGACGAGCTATCTGCTCCTCCGTGGGCTTCTCATTTTCAATATCTAGCTTATCTAATATGGCTAAGGTGTTCTATGGGAAGATTTGTATTGAGTTGATAGCACATGGGATTACCTTTTAAGAGGTATATCTTACTTGCGTATCGCGATGTATGCTATAGGTTGACCAACAGCAAGGTTCTACCTGGTTAGAGTCAAGTCCCCAGAATTCCAGCTCCTCCTCGAAAAGCGGGCCACACACGTCAGTTGGATAGTGCAGTTTTCCAGTTCTAAGAATAAGAAAAAATTAATTATTTAATAAACTATTTTATTTGTAAATTTTTAACTACCAAAGCGAATAAACCCACTTAACCTCTTTTCGCTATTAGTAAAATATATTTCTTTCAAAAGTTATTATCATAAATTAGAATACCACTTTGCTCAGCGAAATACCAAAAGTCTCTGTTCCGAAATTATTCAAACTCGAGATGCATAGAATCCCATTAAGACCCGGCAATTATGGCATAAGTTAGGTTTGACTAAATGCTCTCCTCTATCAACGATTCCCCTTTTCGACTCTTTCGACCGGTCAAAACAAATTCATGGACTTGGCCAAGCGTGCAAAGGGCTTAGAGTTCCGACCGACTAATATTATGGCCAAAACGGCACGTCTGAAAATGTGGCTGCAAATTGCGCAACTGAAATTCTGGGAAAATGGGGATGGGTATCACTTGCATATGCATGGTTGGCAAATGTGAGGATATGCATTGCATGCACCTGGTCAGAAAAAGAGGAAGAAAACAGACATGGTCATTCCGCACCCACCTCTTGACCCCCTTCCTCCGACACTTGGCATATTCATAATGCTGCCTTGGCCATTGTTCCATTCTCTTGGCCAACAACAATTTGTGATGCTTTCAGTGCTCTATGCATGAATGTGTGTGTGTGTGTATGCTCAAATTGCAGTAAATGCACCCAAAAAAAAATGATCATAGAAAGTAAACTATTTCTACATTAAAAGTAAACTATTGAGTGTCAAAAATTTCTCGATACTCTGAGTATTAAACTAATGGACTCGAAAGTATAAAAAGAAACTTTCGAAGTTGTCAAGTTAAACTAACGAGTATACAGTTTATACCACTCAGTGTACTGAAATTCAGGCTGCTAGTTTATTTTGTATACTATTTAGTATAATGCCAGTATAAATATTATACCCCCGTATTAAAGAGACAAAATTTAAAAAATGTTGTTTTGTACTTTTCATATATTATAAAACATATTTTTACATTTTTATAAATTACTGAAGGTAATTTTAAATTTAACAAATAATATAAATACAATACATGTACAAAATATGTACGTATGTATGCATATTTGGGCAAATGCCGTTTTACCGCTTATGTCGCTGATCATGTGCAGAGTGGTCGCCGTCCAGATGAATAACAAATCTTGGTCGAGGACGCTGATATTGAAGTTAACATTGCGCTGGCCGCGGTCAGAAAAAATGCAAGCCAATTGCAAGATCCTTAGTTTCCCGGCATCTGGAGCGCAATTCAAGGTGGTGTCCGTAAAAAGAAAAGAATTTACTCATTAGTTATGCGCTAAGACACAATTTTAATGTACTTACATTTCAAATAAGCCCAAAATAAGCAAATATTAAAATTTTAACAAGTAATTTTCACAAACAAACTTTAAACAGACCGCAGCGTCGTTTACAAAATACACTAATGTCAAACCATTAAAATACTAACGCGTCGAATAACATTAAAAAGCGGTAACACTTTTTCTGCTCGAAATGTCCAGGTTCCAAACCAGAGCATCCTGGCTTCACACCAGGAACGAAAATCGAAAACTTCGGTTTAGAAATTAAACTCAGGATATAAACTTAACACTATTTAGTCTTAACTTAACACTATTGAGTCTTGTCCTTACATTATTTAGTTTTGAATTAATACTGACAGTTTGATACTAGCTGTAGTATACTTTTAATACAACGCTTATTAAATATAAACTTTCGGTTTTTTTTTTGGGTGTGGCTGCGGGGGAGTTCCAAAAAAAAATAAAGTGGTGCAGTGGTGGGGAGGGATCGTCCTTGTCCACAGTTGTTGGCCAACTTGTAATGCCATATCAGCTGCCGGACAGTCGCCGAGTGGAGGGGGTTGAGTCCTTGCATGGTTTTATTTTTGGATGATATCTTCACTTACCACCCCGCCTCACACACACGTGTGCACATCCTGAATGTCCTTTTTTGCGTCAGCTCCCAACATATTTGGTGCAACTTTTTCACTCTCTTGTGCTGACCAGACTTTTGTGCTGGTTAAAAATCATTTCATACCGCGAATTCCTTGAAAAAATATTATGAAATGAAATGAAATAAAATAAAAACAAATGTTGCTGCGTATCGCTGATGATTGCGGACTTGCAAATTGCCGATTTTATTTCGAGATCCTGGTCCAAGTTCAGTAATGGATATAGTTGCCGCAACAGACTTTGACATTTTGACGTGTCCCACTGAATTTTACGCGGTCATTTTAAAGGAACGAGTTTTTATTTCATCGTACCCTGTAAAGCTTTGAAACTAAACAAATCAATGGCAATACTAAAAACTAAGAAAATATTAAAATATAAAAACGTCAGCTTGTAATTTAGCACCCTTGGAAGTTTTGTCTAAAACTTTGTTTATCGCAAACCATAGGGTATCATTTATTCGTCAGCATATATTTTATGTCACACCCACCATACTTTTAATCTTTTTAAGCGCTCTGCAGTCATTGTCATGGCTTTTCGATATATCTCTCGACGTACATTCACGTGGATCGTTAATTGGTTTTCTCCATAAAACCCGCAATTCGGGCCACTTTTTATGCCGGTTTTCCACCGCTATGCATTTAAATATTTCCGGGGTCCTCAAATTACATTTCGGTTAAATCACTTCCATTCTCTCTTAATCCCCCACCTCTGCATTTCTTCGCCTTTCGCCTTCATCAAGTGTGCATAACAAATATTACGCATACGCAGCGTGCAACCGATGCAATCAATATTTATAGCTGACCTCAACAAGCATGTGAGCCGATCAGGCGCATAAAGAGTCTCCGCGTTTAAATGTGCATAAATAATGAAATCGATTGCCTCTGACACACTCGGCCTGAGGAATTTGCATTAAATATGGGGATGGCGATAAAACGGCTTACGGTTTAACGGTCTTCGCTAATGAATTTGTACTTTAAAGTACTGATAAAATAATTACGGGTAATTTCCTTAAGGAACTCATAAAATAACCAGAGTGACATTCTTTTTTATATTGAAAATTCGTAGTTATAGTTTCAACCGCTGAAAACAAAACTATATTAATTGGAAAATTTAATTTTACTGTATTCTTTACGATTTCATTTCAATGAGCTCATTATAAATTTCAATTAATTGTGGAGGCAGTGAATTTACATTCCATTTTAAATTACCTCCTTCGACAAAATATGTAAAAAATGCACAAAACATAAGACAAAATATGTAAAAAATGCACAAAACATAAGTATATCTAAATGTGTATTATTTCTTCGAATAACTTTTCATCTCCATATCAAATGCATAAATTTCAATCTGTAAATAATCGATAAATAACAATCCCAACGCACATTCGCTTTGTTATTTTACTGCACTTTTGCTTCCTCTGCAGCTTATGTATATGAAATCTTTTCACACAAATTGTCTGGAGCACTTGGTGCGTGCATAATTTGATTATATATCCCCTAAAGAGGGCGGGCTTCCGAAGGACCCCCCATTTCAACCACACCCCCTAGGGGACTCAGTTTCATTTCCAATCAACGCGGGATGTTGCAGTATTTTTTTCTGCCGTCGCCCTTCTTTGACACCATTTTCCTGGCCATTGGTGCCTGGTTAATTGAGTTGGAAAACTGTTTGGCCAAAGCCCCTGGAGCCATGGGTGTTCGGGAAAATACGGTAACGGGCTCTACTGCTGCCCAATCAATGAAGATGAAGGACGGTGGGATGCTGACAGCGTTGTTTCGTCCGAAAACAACTCCATCTGCAGATGCAGCTTCAGGTGCGGACGGGAATGGGTGATGAGCAAAACAAACTTTCATTAATTTTAAACAACTTAAGTCATCGCAACGGGGCAAAACAGACAACACCTCAGCTCACGGCAAAGATAAATGAGCCCGCTAATGACCCCGAAAAACGTTGGATAAACTTTCGCAGCTCAAAAACTTTAGATTAATGGCCGAGGCGAGTTCGCCCTGCTCCTGAGGCAGCAATTAAAATATTAGTTTGTTTATCCGTCAGGCAATCTATAACGAAAACTGACTCTTGATATGTTTTCCCGGGCGCCATTAATCAGGGCAATCATTATCGCGAAGAGCACAAATTGAAATGCCAAGGGTGGCTCAAATAAAATAAGATGGAATTTTCCCAACTAAATTGTCTCATCTCCCCCGCACATTTTGTGTCTTAAGTAAATGGATGTAATTACCATCACAACATTCGTAGTCATTGCACGTCTAAACGGCTTTCGGCAGCTTAATTAGCACTGAGACACGACACTCACCTGTAATAGTTGAGGATTTGGGTGAAGACCCCGGGGTGGCGATCGAAAAAGTATTCATTGAGTACCGGATCGTAGTTGGCCAGGGCTTCAGTCAGTCGGGAGAGACGTGTTGCGGGGATTTTCTTGAGCGTGGCCTTGTAGGTTTCATATCTGCAAAGGGAAAAATTCAAGGACATTTATTCCAAGGGGCTAACAAATTACTAATACCATAACCGCTTGACCCCTTATATCGAGCCATGAAACCCGACTCCCTGAAAAAGTGAGCGATAAAAAAAAGGTGGAGTATTCCAAAGGAGCAAAAAAAAGATGGGAGGGTCAAGCAAGTGTAAGCAAAACCAAGCCATAAGCCATTTGCATACATTTCGCTTTTTTCCACGCTTTTTCTTTTTCACCCTCCTCTTCCCCTTTTTTTATATTGTGTGCCAAAAGCATAAAGCATTAGGGTTTTTGGTTATGGTTCTGGCCAAAGTCCTAAGTGGGTCACGTAGATTTTGGTCTAGAATTTCCTTTGTTTGATTTGACCTTTGACAAAGATCATTACCGCACTAAATTGATGGATTTTCAATTCATCCTGTTTGACGTTTGTTGATATTTGCTGACCAAACAAAAGTCACTTTTGTACATTTTCGGACATTTCGATGATTTGAATATGCTAATATTTAAGGAGTGGGAACTGGAACTTTTCTTCTTTGATTTATTAATGTAATGTTTGTATTTCTCTATATTATTCGCATTCATTATACAAAATCAAAACAACAGAAAATAAACTATTACAAATAGTTCTTGTGTTACTCCCCCATTGATACATTCGATTCCCAGGAAAGACAAAGTTTACACGTGTTAATCATATTTCCACCTTGACTTCACCTACGAGTATCATGCCGCCACACACGAACCAAACTTAATTTACGTAATCATCCATAAAATTATACGAGCACATGGAGCGACAACGACTCCCACCAGGCGTAATTAAATTCAATTGAAAGTAATTTCCAACAAATTGTTGTAAATTTCATTCTCGCATTTATAACCCGCACACTCCCGCCCCGGCAATCGATGACATTTAAGTGCGTGTCCTGGCGAGCGTAGCTGAGCTGAGCCGAGCCGTCCATATGCAATTTATTTTTTACGCCCAACTGTTTGCTCTCGGTTATTAAATATTTCATGCAGCTGAGGACAGCAACCGCAGCGACAGCCGAATCATCAATAACCGGGCTCCGCCGCATAACAATTGCCATTAAAGTTTATTCGGGCGGTTCGGCGATGGTAATTGGCCCCGCCGGAGGACCAATGGAACGGACAGCAGTGGAGCCGGGAGTCGAACAAATGTTTGCTCAGTCTCCATTTCAATTGAATGCAATTTTCGGAGGGGCTCGGGCATTGTATTGAATTAGTTTTCCGCCTGTGATTGCTTTCGTTCGCCTTTTTTGTGTCCTGATTTTGACCAACGATGCGTATGCGTGATTCACTTGACAGCTGTGCCGAGCTTTCAATTTACGACTGGAATAAATTTCAGAGAGATTTTGACAAATTGGCCTAAATCGTATTTAATGAATTATGCTGAAATAAATTTCTTCCTCTTTTCGCCCATCAATTTCGTGTTTGTAATATGGCCCACAGCCGAAAAGTATGGTAGAACAATTTGTATTATGCGAGCGGTAAGAGGAGGAAATTTTCTGAAGAGTCAGCTAAATGATGGAGTGGACCCGCGTCCAAATAAACATCAACGTAATGATCAATAAAAAGGAATAAGCTCAAATCGGACATTTCACTAATGGTTTATGATTTCGTTGAATAATTTTACGCAAGTGAATGCCGAAACACGGTTTGTACAAATGGCATGTATTGATTTTTTTAATATTTTCAGCATTATTTAATTTACGAATTTATTAAACCATTTAGACTAAATTGTGCTTATTTTATTTTCATAAAATCTGCCCTTTTCCAGTAAACAAGCCTGGGAATCTTGTTACACTTATAATATTCTTGTGGGTACACATGTAAATATATTGATTGATTGTCTTGAATGAAAGCTGATAAGCTTTTGATTATTTTTACTCTGTACTAAATTGATTTCCTCTAGTCATGAAATTCCAAGTTGGTTATTTTCCTATTTAAGAAAACACATTAAGAAATAGCAAGTCATTTTGCACGAAAATCATAAAATTCTAGAATGTTTTTTTCTTTTAAGCGAAATCGTATGATAATTTATACCGTTGTGGCTGGCCAAGTTAATCTATCCATAGCTATAGAGCTCCATTGAGCATGGCAATTTGATAAACAACATTATAATAATTCCTCTCTCGCATACAAAATAAGTCCCACATGCAAATGCAATTTCATTTAAGTATTTTTAGTTTTTGTTTTTTATACTCTTTGTTATTGTTTTCTTTCTCTTTCTGGTTCTCCTTAATCAAGAGATTGTTCGGTAGCTATCTCTAGCTCTATCTCACTCGGACATTATCAGCAGCTATCGGTGTTGACAGACTAGCTTTTTAAACGATTTTGTATTTTTTTAAAAATATTTTACAATTTGACACATGAGATTTGTATGAAATATCACAGTAGTCTTTTGAAAATAATATAACAAATAGTTATTATTGTCGGACTCTGAAACATCCTTCATTTAATAAGTGGAAATATTGTGATACCTTTGTACTTATTTTCGAGGCTGAATAATTCTACATATATGTAAGTATGTTCATTAAAATTTAATTAACTTCTTGATACTATTTATATATTTTATTTAGTTTTTATCTTTCAGCTAAAATCATTTTTTTATTTATTTTATTTATTTTCATCTTTTTGGTGAAAGCATTGAAAATTCTTTGGCTATTTTTAGCTAGGCTTTAGTTTATACCCTCCATCTGACAGCACTTGTGGCGTGGCCTGAGTTCCCCCCGAGACTCTTGAAAAGTTCCTCCGTAGTTTTCGCGAGCGGCAACGCGACGACAGCGATTCAGTTGCCCGACGACCGCTGAGCAATTAACACGCAGTTCTAGTTTAGCGTTCTCGAGACTCTACCCCCCTTTTTTATCCGGAATATAAAGATCAGACCAAAATGCTGCGCGTTTTGAAGACCGGCGCCTTGCTGCGGGCACAGACCAAGAATTTCGCAGCTGCTGTTGCGAACTATTCCGCCCTCCCACAACCCCAAACCACGCCCGAAGTCCTCTACACCGGGGTAAGTCCGAATCCTAATCCGACAATGGAAAAAAGTGAAAACAATTATAAATAAATTGAGGCAGTTATCGCAATCGCATTCGCAATCGGAAGAACAGAATCAACGCAAAAGAAAGCATTAAACGTGTTTTTGAGTTGACCTTGAGCCATACAATTGCAGCTGTTATCGCTCAGAGCCCCTCCTCGAATGCCCTACATATGCGAAATCAAGTTTTTAGGTTTTCCAGTTTAGGTTTGCCCGTTTGGGTTTAACAAAAAGAAATTGGGCAAATCAACGAAACGCGAGCCTCGCACTCCGACATTCAGATCACGTACACCAAATGTTTATCGGCAGCTGTAAGGGATTGCAGGGGATTAGGTTGCCTAAGCGAATCGAAAGACCGGCGACTAAAAAAACGATATCGAAAAAGCAAAAAAAGCGTAAAAAAAACAAGTTCGCCGGCTATATTTGTTGTTATTTTTTTTTGCTTCTGATTTTAGTTGTTTGCCATTCCCGGTTTCTTTGTTACGTCAGAGCTGCTCGCACAAAAACAAATTTGTTTGCTGCGAATTCTCTTCCCTTATTCTTCTCTTCGCTTCACGGTTTCATTCTGCCACCAGGGAAATTTGCATAAATTCTACGAATTTGCCATCTTTATTTGTTATCTTTAGTGTCACCAATTAGAACTAGCGTTCGTTAGATTTAATTGAGAGGGGTTTGCGGTTAGCAACCGAGCCAAATGCGTTTTTTGTGTCCAGATGTGCCAAGGGATTCCATGAGATTGGGGTAATTGCGATGCATTAGAAAAAAGTTTAGGGAGAATCAGCAATGAAAGTTGAATGCCAAAATATATAGGCAAATCCCCAATTGGAAAATAAATATATATTTACAATTTGTCAATATTATTTCACATTAAGCATCAAAGAGTTCTAATTTTTCTCTTAATTTCAATTCATAATTATTTAGTGTTATTTCAATTAATACAGAAAAATAACAAAATATATGGTCCATAATATAATGGATGATCCAGAAAAATAATAAAATATATGGTCCATAATATAATAAATGATCCAGAAAAATAATGAAATATATGGTCTATAAAATAGTCGATGTTCCACTAAAAAAGCCAAACTTATGAATATATTAATCAAATAAAAACACCTCTTAACGAGGTAAAAAACTAGTGACGACCGCACCTTCAACATACAAAAGTTCTGATATCAACATTTGTGACGAAAAATTATTACACTCGTCATTAAATAGACTTTCTAATATTTTCTCATTCGGCCCGCCCTAGCAAACTATTCCAGCATTTTTCCCTTCACAGGCATTTTCTATTGCAGCGTGCCGAATGAGAAAATATTAGAAAGTCTATTTAATGACGAGTGTAATAATTTTTCGTCACAAATGTTGATATCAGAACTTTGTATGTTGAAGGTGCGGTCGTCACTAGTTTTTACCTCGTTAAGAGGTGTTTTATTTGATATCAGAAGTTTTTGTTTGTTTACATTTGCTCTCATAGGAGCTAATATATACATTTAAATTTAAATTGGTCAATCATAATTTTTAAACTATTGTATTTTAACAAATTAAGTTAAAAAGGCGTTGAAGTATTTTAAAATACCTTTTAAACGAGGTATAGCACATGTCTGTACCTTTAGTAGTGTAGAACTTACAAACTAAAGAAATTTAGCTATTTTTAGCTTTTTCCCGCTAAAGTAGCGGCTTTTTCCAAAAGTCGTAGAACAAAAGATTCCTATATGGAACTCTTAAGTGCAAATTTACTGATTCCATGACCCTAAAATACAGTTCGGATACCCTCCCACAAAATTCAATACTCAGGGGCGTTAATTGTTCGAGCTGGCAAAAGTGGCTATTTTCGTATAAAAATAACTTTTAAACGTGACTTTTTACAGTAATGTGTTATATACCAAAATTTAAGGAATCTCAAGGGCTATACAGTTTAAAGTTGTAAGGAAAATCGTTAGAGCCGTTTTTGAGAAAATTAAAAAAAGCTAAAAAAAGTTTAAACAAATTTTATTTTGTTCATATCTTTTAACTATTACATTTACTCAAATTGCATATAGAAGGCGTTTATAGCATTTAAAAATACCTTTCAAACGAGATGCAGCACAAGTCTGTAGCTTTAGTAGTATAGAAGTTACGGCTTTCCGAATTTTAGCTATTTATAGCTGTTTTCCCGCTAAACTAGCTAGTTTTTCCAAAAGTGGTAGAACAAAAGTTTTTATATCGATGTGATGAACGTCATATCAAATTTTCAGAACTTAAAAAACATATTTTGGACAAGTGGACAAGTGGACAAGTGGACAAGTGGACAAACTGACAAACAGAATTAAATTTTCATTTTGGGAAGAAGAAGAAAATCTTATTTTGGCTATAACTTTTGAACGGAGCGTCGGATTTTGACAAATGACCCCTCATTCGACGGGTATTTTCAAAAGGAATACAACTAAAACATTGCGAGGGGCATTTATCCCCACCGGCCCCAACAGCTCCAAATTTCGAAATTTTAACTTTTTCACTTTCCCCGCTCTCTCCCCAAGCCAATTGATTTTCCTAAAGTCTTGGTATGCAATCCTTTAAGTTTTTGCAATACCTTTCGATAGGTGTATCATTCATTATGATCGGACCATCACAGTAGATTTTCATTTCTTCGTGTATATATAGTAGTCGCCTTCGCACACTCTCCTGGTGCGCTTCGTCACTACATGGACTGCCGTCCATAGTGATAGTATTAAAATCAAGTAGGTAAAAATAAATAATAAATTCTCATATTTTTAATATTTATTTTTAAAATCCAAAAAAGTCATAAAAAATATACAATTAATTAAATTAATCCTAATTCATATAGAAAAAAATATCACTCCGTGATCTCATACACTTTATCTTATCTCTTGATTCATCTAATTGTTTTTTTTGTTACTATTGGCAGTTTCCACACCTTATCACTAAGTAGCCTGATTATTTTTGTGGGTCTTGCTATGTAGATAACATGGCACACTTTATAAAGTCGAGCTCCCTCATCAAACCAGTTCGATCGTCTAGCCAGACCCCCAAAATTATATACACGTGCCTTCGTCGCTGTATTTATGTTTGGCCATGTCTGGTGGAAAGTTTTATATTCGCAAGCACATTGTGAAATACTAAAGTATATGTATGCAAAAATAAGAAAGGAAATACAGCATGAATATAAACAGAATTAGAATTGACTTGGGATGACGTGAGGGGTTGAGAGCTCACTTCATTTCAATTCTAATCAGTTAGCCGGTAAACGTTTCAGATCACACGGGCTGGGGGATTGTCAGGTACACATGCTAACCGAACAATCAGACGATTCCGATAGAATAAAAACACGCATAGGCAGCAGCTAATAATAACAAATAACAGCAGTCAAGGGCTTATCACATAGGGGAGCGGCTTGTTTGACACTCCAGCTAAACCTTGTAAAATTAAACAGAACCCAATATGCGAGATTATGGAAATATTAACTCTTTTATTGCAGCTGTTTATCAACAACGAGTGGCACAAGAGCAAGTCGGGCAAAACCTTTGCCACCATCAACCCAACCACAGAGCAGACCATCGCCGAAATCCAGGGTGGCGATAAGGAGGATATCGATATTGCCGTGAAGGCTGCCCGCAGTGCATTCAAGTGAGTGTCAAGCGCAGATTTCAATTAGCTTGTTTATTTATGACCATTTCATAACCACCTAGGTTGGGATCCCCATGGCGTCGTATGGATGCCTCGGAGCGCGGTCGTCTAATCTACCGCCTGGCTGATCTCATGGAGCGCGATCAGGTCTACCTGGCCGTAAGTATGATGATAGGTAGTCAATATGACTATCTAATAAAAATTAAAATAAATAAAAAATAAATATTAATAAATAAATAATACATTTACTACATTTAATACATTTAATTTAGAATTCATGTTGAGTTCTTCTTTTGTAATTTGCTATCTATTAACCATTAAAGATCCTTTGATTAAAAATACAAAAATATTCCTTATCATTTACTTTTATTTAGTAGTTGATATAGAACTCTACAAATTTTTTTGATTTTTTTATTTTCACTTAAATAATACTAATAAAATTTCTAAATTCTCTTTTAGAGCTTGGAAACCCTGGACAATGGCAAGCCCTACAGCATGTCCTACAACGTGGATCTGCCCACTGCCATTAAGAACCTGCGCTACTTTGCTGGCTGGGCGGACAAGAACCACGGCAAGACCATTCCCATGGACGGGGAGTTCTTCACGTACACCCGTCACGAGCCCGTGGGCGTGTGCGGTCAGATCATCCCCTGGAACTTCCCCATCCTGATGATGGCCTGGAAACTGGGTCCCGCTCTGGCCACCGGCAACACAATTGTGCTGAAGCCGGCGGAGCAGACCAGTCTGACTGCCCTGTACATTGCCCAGCTGGTGAAGGAGGCCGGCTTCCCGGAGGGCGTGGTCAATGTGGTGCCCGGCTTCGGAGGAGCTGGCGCCGCTCTGGCCAATCACAGTGACGTGGACAAGGTGGCCTTCACCGGATCCACCGATGTGGGCAAGCTCATCCAGCTGGCCTCGGGCAACACGAACCTGAAGCGCGTGACCCTGGAGTTGGGCGGCAAGTCGCCCAACATTATCCTGGCCGATTCCGATCTGGACTACGCCGTGGAGACGGCTCACTTTGGCCTCTTCTTCAACATGGGCCAGTGCTGCTGCGCTGGATCCCGCACCTTTGTGGAGGACAAGATCTACGATGAGTTCGTGGAGCGCAGCGCGGAGCGGGCCAAGAAGCGCACCGTGGGCAATCCCTTCGACCTGAACACCGAGCAGGGTCCCCAGGTGAACGAGGAGCAGATGGAGAAGATCCTGGGCCTGATCCAGACGGGCAAGCAGCAGGGCGCGAAGCTGGTCGCCGGCGGCAGTCGTCCCGAGGGTCTGCCCGGCTACTTTGTCCAGCCCACGGTGTTTGCCGATGTCCAGGACAACATGACCATTGCCAAGGAGGAGATCTTCGGACCCGTTCAGCAGTTGATTCGCTTCAAGAAGCTCGACGAGGTCATCGAGCGGGCCAACAACTCGGATTACGGCCTGGCCGCTGCCGTTTTCACCAAGGATCTGGACAAGGCCAACTACATTGTGGGCGGTCTGCGGGCCGGAACCGTGTGGGTGAACACCTACAACGCCCTCGCCGCCCAGGCTCCCTTCGGTGGCTACAAGATGTCCGGCCATGGACGCGAGAACGGCGAGTACGCCCTGTCCAACTACACGGAGGTCAAGAGCGTCATCGTCAAGGTGCCCCAGAAGAACTCCTAAGAAGGAGGCTCTATTTCCTCCAAGAGGGAACTTAAAATGGTTCACCCCGTTTATATTTACTAAACTCGGGCGGTAATCTGTTTGCGTTACATCTACTTACGATCTACATCTCTATATGCACATAAGTATAGATTCATCTGTGGGATATTGCTTGTCTACGGCCAGTTTCTGTATTCTTTCCATTCGGTTAACTCAGTTTAAGTGTACATCTCTATTTTGAAATAAAGTTCTTTGAGAAATTTGTAGTTTTTAAAAACGTAATGTTATATTTGGGACAGGATTTATTTATAAAAAGGTCACTATAAAAATATTAATATAATTTATAATAGAGCCCCTAAGTAGCTTTGTTTAAAAGACAGCTATAAAGTATTTTAGGAATTTTCTTTGGCCAATTGAAAGCCATACTTCTTTCATTCTTTTTATACCCTCTTTTGTACTGTGATGGTTTTATGTGTGATCCCAATGTTTGCCAATAGATTCCTGGCTTTGTTCATGGCACACTCTGAACTGAATGTCATTATTTTGCTTATCCCACAAACACCAGGATAAAGCAAACAAACACCGAGATACTTCCTCCTCGCAGCTTACACTGCACGAAACGCTGATTGGTTTAGCATAGAGCCAAAAGCAAACGGAAAAAGTGAGCAGCACGGAGCTCGTCTATCTAGGAGAAATAAGCTTACATTTATTTGCATTTATTGGCATTTTCCATCGTTTTGTTTTAGCCCAGAATGCTTTGTGTGTGTGGGTTTGTATCTGTGTCTGCATATCTCAGGGACTTAGGAACACACATATCAGGACACACTCACACACACACAGCAGGTCGTCTTTCATCCGACATCATGGCAAAAAGAGAAAAGTTGTCCATTAGATTGGACAGCAGCTGAGCGTGTCAAGTGCTTTGCGGTTAGTGCACAAGTTTTTCTCTTATTTTCCACTTTGTTGTTTTCCAAATTGAATAAGCGCATTTGTATGCAATTTATTTAAAATTTGTATTTCAATTTTTACGATGACCGGAAGGCCAAAGTGCAAATGGTTATTTGTTTTACATACATATTTATTGCCTGGCACTTGAATGGCTGGAAAAGTGCCGGGAATTTGAATATTCTAAGCACAGAATATTATTAATATATTATTCAACATGAATTATTTCATTATGAGATTAAATATTATACCTTGTATATCAACATAAAAAAGGTTACATTCTGTTTAACAGTTTGGACAATTTTAAATGGAAATTTTATAAATCAAATTTAAGCAACAAAGTATAAAATACTATTAAACGTTTATGATTTATGATCTCTCAATATGCATTCTAGTTTGTATTTACCGTACAGTGATAAATTTTCCGAAACTAAAATGTATTTTTTATGCCGTTTGCATGATACACTCTTAATTCGATTTTTGCTTTTCCATTCAAAAGAAAGAGCAGAGTTCACTAAGCCCCCCACGATGTACACACAATTATTTTATTTTAGCCATGCTCTTTTTTGGAACGAGTTATTTTAAATTGATTTTCGCTTGATGGCCGCCATTCATACATATTCAAGAATCCAATCCGGCAAAAAATGAAAATGGCATGGGAACAAAAGTCTGGAAAAACTGTTAAAATTGCAAATGATCCATGGGCAATTTTAATACCCCAAATGGCAGGTGGCCAACTCGAAAAAAGGCGACTAACAGGGCCAACACAGGACTACGGTTAGAAGGAGAAGTGAGAGGGGGGAATATGGAGAAAGGAATGATGATTGCCAAAAGCGCAGCCGTGCGCATTGAGGCGCGTGCACAGGTGCGCTCGAGCGTTGTAGTTCTTAGTTCAGGCTCGAATGCGGGGCATAATTGAAAATCATTTTTCACCGGACTTAATGTGCAGCCAGAAAAATGCTGTTATTAACTGCCACGGCCATACTTTAATTATCCTGCCACACCAAAACTATAATTCAGCATTTGCACTCCACAGCAAAAGCCGCCAAAAGAGCGTGGCCGAGAAAAAAAAACAAGTATCCGCCACGTTGGCCAATTTGCAGTCACTCTTTTTTCACAGCGGCAATTCAACTTTATCACAGTGTCTACACTCGATTACATTGTTATGTTCAGCGACCAAAAGGCTGCCAAAGAGGGTGAAAAAAATGGGAGGAAAAGTAACTTCTCCCACTGGGGACATCGAGATGCCCAGCACTTTGATCATTAGCCGGAAAATGGCCATGGACACGGCGCAGATAAGCCAAGAAAAAGAGCCAGAGCAACCAGAAAGCAGGGGGAATATCCCCAGGAGGAGGGTAAACAAAAGGCTTAACAAGGATTAGCAATGTAAACCAGATCAAAAAAAATTCTTAATGGCAAAGGCAACTTAAATTCCTTCAGCCCAAAATTATGCAACGATGATTTCGCCATTTGGCGCGTTTAAAAACCGCGCTGGAAACGCTGGGAAAACGCAAGTACCCATAAGTGAAAAATCAAATTGGGTTCAACACACTCACTCACGCAATTGCATCGCACTTAACCCAATAAAGTGCCTGCGATCCAGTTTCAGACCAGATGTGTCAGCATATTGCCATCCCATTTGGGCCCCCATCAGCCTCAGTCCTCCGATTTCTCTTCGCTGTTGGCCTATTACCTCCGTTAAGCAGGCTAAATGCTGTGACACAGACACATCGTCGTTTTATGGCCGTAATGCGATTTACGCACAGTGGGATCAAAGGGATAACCAGTGGGAAAAACCGGTAAGTTTTGGATTATTATATTTTAAGTTACTTTGTTACAAGTATTGAAATCGCAATGCGAGTGATATTATTTATATTATTAAAATGAATAATAAATATTTTTTTTTTTTTTTTTTTTTTTTTTTTTTTTTTTTTTTAAAAATAAAAAAAATAATTATTTTAAAATTAAAAATATTTTTTTTTTTTTTTTTTGGTGGTTGTAAAAGGGGGGGGGGGGTGGGGGGGGGGGGGGGGATTTTTATTTTTTAAAAAAAAAAGAAGGGGGGTGGGGGGGTTTTTTTTATTTTTGTAAAAAAAAAAGGGGAGGGGTGTTAGAAAAAAGGGGGGGGGGGGGGGGGGGGGGGGGGGGGGGGTGGTTTAAAAATTTTGGTTTTTTTTGTTGTTAAAAAAAATTTTTTTTTTTTGTGGGGGGAAAAGTCCCCCTTTTGGGGTGTAAAAAATTTGATTAAAATTATAATACCCTCTACAAGGGTATAAAAATTTCCATATCTTATAAAAATTGTTTATTTAAAATTATCAAATTACTGGGACCTGTTTCGTTTAAGATTTCTAATTTAGATATTTTAAATTAACTCCACAAATTAAATGCCAATTTGAACCTTACCAACTCAAATTAAGGTAAACAACGCGCAACGGTTAGTTAGTTAGTTAAAAATAACTGAACCGCGTCTGCTTTAAAATCGATTGATTATTTTATTTTAAGCTCCTTAATTGACCTCAGCCACTGGCCAAATCAAGCCAGTAATTAAAAATTCAACATAACCCGCATTTGTTGGATTTGGTCGCCGCAGATGCCATCGATTTTCACGCCATCAACGTCAATAGCGTGAAAATGCGCAAAAATGCCGTAGCAGTCAATAAGGTGGAACTTTGTAGTCCTGCCAACAGCAGCAACATTCTGATGCAACAACGGCAGCAGCAGCAACTGCAACAAAAGCGAAAACGATGATGGCTTTGATGCCACTTCAAATGGAAACGCTCACATACATCATCCCATCGCTCGACATCCAGCTCGTCTGGTTCTAAGAATCCGCCGACTGTTACGGGCCTTTTGTTGTTTGCCGAATGCAATGGCATTTCCGTGTCCGTCCCCGCCCCCTCTGGCCACGCCCTCCGTTACACATGTCGCACACGAAAGCGGCAACATCAGTGTACCCTGTAATCGCAAATTGGCGCTGTTTCCCTGGTGATTTCGATTTGTGATACTAGTACAAACTGAATTTAATTTAAATTTTTAAATTAAACAAAATGTTGAAGCTTTGATGTCTCCATGAAAAAGGATTAAGAAAGCTTAAAGAGGAGAGATATTTTTGGAAAACTGGCAATATCAACAAAGTCTTTCAACATTATTATCTAGCTTAGTGAAATCTAAGCAAAGATTATTTTCTAGGTATATGTATCTAAGAATATATATGTACATTTAATTCAAAATAATTATTTAAAAGGAAAAAGCTTATCTAGCAATTTAAACTTATTTTATTTAAAGCAATTTTATTTTCTTTTCAGCTTCTAAATTAAATCGGTGACATTTCTCTTTTTATTTAAATTATGTCATTGGGCTACACTATCTACCAGGTATCTTGGTGTCGGGGAACTGGATTAATGCCTGCTAGCTTGTTCCTTCTGCCTGTGGCCCCGTCACCCATTTTTTGTTTGCCGCGCCAGTCCGGAAATGTGCATAAAGTGGAAGTGTATTGCGCATTGGCGTGAGAAGAGCCATTGATGGGATGGTCTCCCGCCTCCGAATAGGAGCATATATACCCCAAGCCCCTCTCCCCCCGCCAGGAATCCTGTCGGCATGCCGGAGGCGCCACAAAAGCCAGACGCAGACGCTGGCGAGGCTGATGAGTTGCCAGTGGCATTGCATCGCCATCGCCATCGCTCTTGGCTATTAACTTGCTCAAATATTTGCTCAGGCAGCCGCGATGCACTAGACGCTAAAAACAGCAAACATGGCCAACACAAAGCAAACAACGGTGGGGCTCTAAAAGGAGGCAAAAATGAGCGATAACGTGGAAGGAAAATGTCCTTTTGTAGCCAAGAGTAAGCCAAGCGACAAGCAGCGCAGCTTCAAAGGACAACACTTTTTTGTTTGCGGAATACAAGCAGAAACCACTTAGAAACCGAAAAAGTGTTTATGCCATGCATTAAAGTTTAAATAAAAATTACCCCAGCACCATTTGCATTTTACTTTATGCAGCTGTACAGTTTAGTTTCATAATTTAGCCATGAAAATAAAACTTTGGGCGAACAATTAACACATGATTTTATAAAATAACAGTTTAGTGTTAAACTTTTCAGAATTTTCACAATTTTTATTAAATTCTCTAAAGGATTTAAAGCACCAGAGTCCTGAAAATAAATATATTGTAATTTTATTTAGGTTACAATGCCCCGCCTCGTTTAAGCACAGTTACAAAATAGCATTAAAATGTCTTATTTCGGTCTGGCTAATAAAACACCAAGAAATATTCTTAAAAAGCTTTAAGGAGGCCTCCGCGCACAATTGAAAATAAGGCAACGCCCGGGCGTT